CCCCCCCCCCAGCAACTACCTTTCTGAATGTGTATTCAGTGTATTCATTTCTGCCCACGGTTTTATACTTTCACTACTTACTAATTACATTGTAAATAACTTATGTTTTAAAAACTGACCTACACAACATTACATTGTACGTATCTCTTTGTAGGTTCTTTTTTTTTCCCCCACTTAAATCATGTTTTTGAGATTATACAAGCTGATGAGGTTCTGTTTTACTCACGTTAGCAATTTTAGAGCAAATCTGTTGTATTTTTGACTAGGTTTTTATTTTTATTTGAAAAAGTAATACCTTCCCAGTAAAAAAACAAACAAAAAACCTTAAAAAGAATAAAAGGATATGCAATTTAATAAATATACCTGCCACTTAAGCTGCCGTTCTTTCTGGACAACTATTACTAATCAGTTCCTTATGGATACTTAATCAAATATCCCACCCACAGAGATCATTTTTGTTTTTAAAATTTTTTTTAAGTTTATTCATTTTTGAGAGAGAGAGACACAGAGTGTGAGCAGGGGAGGGGTAGAGATAGAGAGAGAGAGAGAGACAGACAGACAGACAGAATCCAAAGCAGGCTCCAGGTTCCGAGCGGTCAGCACAGAGCCCGACACGGAGCTCGAACTCACGAACCGTGAGATGATGACCTGAGCTGAAGTCGGACGCTTAATCGACTGAGCCACCCAGGCATCTCTCCTTTTTGTTTTTAAGCATACAAGTGGGCCCAAATGATACTTTGTGTTCTGTACTTGTGTTTGTCTCCTTCGTTTAATGGCCTGAAACGTTCTCCGAGGTCCATCAGCACGAACGGGTGACGTGGCTCTTCTACGCAGCTCCAGGAAGTTCCGCTGCAGTTTTCTCCCAGTTGAACTGGCATATGCTGATGCTCACATATCGTACTTTCAGTGTTCAGCTACTGCAAACAACCCCGCCATGCACATGCTTGTACATCTTTTCCCGTGTGTCCCATACATCTCTGTGAAATTCCCAGAAGATTAATTTCTGGGCTAATGAATGTGCTTCTTCAGCTGACAGACTGTGTCAAATTCTTTCCCAAAGAGATCGTACAGTTATGTTCCTCTGTTCCTAACTTGCTGATGGGTTCTGCCTTGCATAACAGGGGGCCACCATGCTCCAAAATTATTTTTAAACTTTGTTTTTTCCTGTATTCTCTTTAAGTAATTTTATAGTTCAATTATTAATAGCATATACTTTGGAACAGGCAACGCATGGCACCTGATCTCAGGGAGTATTACGGTAAGAGAATGGCGGCCCATCTCCCACACGGCCCCATCCGCTCGGGGCAGCCACGGTGCCGTGCGTTTTATTTCCTTGGTTTAGACCTTTTAAATCTTTGACTTGGAATTTACTTTGATGGAGGAAATAATATAGGAATCTGACTTAATTTTATCTTTAAAAAAAAATTTTTTTTAATGTTTGTTTATTTTTGAGAGAGAGAGAGAGAGAGAGAGAGAGAGCATGAGTGGGGGAGGGACAGAGACAGAGAGGGAGACACAGAATCCGAAGCAGGCTCCAGGCTCCAAGCTGGCAGCACAGAGCCCGACGCGGGGCTCGAACTCACACACTGCGAGATCATGACCTGAGTCGAAGTCGGACGCTCAACCGACTGAGCCACCCAGGCGCAACTGACTTAATTTTATCTTGTAGTCAGTCTGTTGGTCTGATACCATTTAATGAAAAATCCAACTTCCCCTCACTGATTTGAAATGTCACCTTTATCACATCCTGGACTTGGACCTGTCTCTGGGCTCCCTCTCGTACCCTGGGAGTCCATCTGTACAAGTACCAAGTGACCTGGGAGCCCACCAGATAGAAAACCACTTGTACTTTATCATAAATCTTTTATTTTTACACACGAACTTTAGCATCAGCTTAATGTTTTAAAACTAAAACAATCTAAACTTTTGCATCAGGATGTAAAGTTTTGAAAAACATGTTGATTTTCATTTGAATCACCTTAAACTTACAAATAAATTCAGGGAAAACAGTGCCTTAAAAAAAATAACTTCAGTATTGAATCTGTTTATCTAGGAACATGGAATAGCAAATTTTCACTTTCCTTGAATCTTTTTTCTCACATTAAAAAAAATTGGTGTTAAAAAAAAAAAAAAAGAAAGAAAGAGAGGGGGATTTGCAAGAAAGTTACCCTAACTGTGTAATATACCTAATATTCTAGAATACTACTCTGGTTGGCCTTTTTTAAATTCTCTACTGACAGGGGGTGGGGGAGGGTGTGGAGAATAACTGCCCGCCAACACACCAGAAGCATTCTAAAAAATGGAGTGTATGTTTTACATGCAGAAATACGATTCCATTCAAACACCTCCTATACTTTCAAGAAAAAAACACAAAGTTACTAGTGGTTTTGTTCTAAGTCAAATATTAACAGCAGAAAGACATTTCATCCATACACCTGTGAATACACAGCTTCCATGGGGATACTCAAGAGCCACTCTAGTGGATTCTGTAAATGAAGGCAGTCATGCTAAAGGGCCCGACAAGCAGACTTCATTTAAGAGAACCCCTTCCTCCCATGGTTTGAAGGGAGGGTGTTCTAGTAGGCCATATATACTCTGTGCCCTCTAAACTCTAAACTACGAGGTTTTATTTTCAGAATAAGAACTTCAAAAAGTACAGAAAGCTTGGATAGTCAGATGGCAGTAAGTACAGGCATTCATTTGTTTAATATCTCTATCAGTTCCTGAATGGGTAGGCCCCACCGTGGAATGACAGGCCAAGGGCAGCATGGTCAGGAGCATTGGTTCTGGTCAGGCTGCCGGGCTGAAATTCTGCCTCTACCTCTTTCCAGCCAGGAAACCTCAGGCTAGAATTTGAAACCAGGCAGGTGGCCTCAGATTCAGAAAGACTGATGGCAACTACATGAAGTGAACTGAAAAGAAACAGAGGGTTACAAAGTAGGACAGCAAGTGCGAGAGCTCAGCTTTGCCATGACCCTGAGACTGTAACGATAGCGAAGAAAGATTTTCATCAACAGTGAGGCAACAATCAGATGTGAACTGTTCAGAGCAAGCATCCTAAAAAAAAGACAGTTCTTTTTAGAACTACTTTGTTTAAATAAAAACACTAATTCGAAAAGATACAGGCACCCTTATGTTCAGTGCAGCATTATTTACAATAGCTGAGATACGGAAGCATCCCAAGTGTCCATCAACTGATGAATGGATAAAAGAACACACACACACACACACACACACACACACACACACACGAGAATATTACTCAGCCATAAAAAAGAATGATCTTGCCATCTGAACAACATGGATGGACCTAGAAAGTATAATGCCAAGTGAGATAAGTCAGTCAGAGAAAGACAAATACTGTATGAATTTACTCATATGTGGAATTTAAGGGAACAAAAACAACAAAAAAAAACAATGAACAGAGGGGGAAAAAATCAAACAAAAAAACCGACTCCGAAGTACAAAGAACTGATCATCACCAGAGGGGAGGTGGGGGGGGGGGGGGGAGGATGGGTGCAGGAGGTAAAGGGGATCAAGAGGTCACTTACGAGGAGCACTGGAAACATACAGAATTGCTGAATCATTATACTGTACACCCGACACTAAAACAACACTTTACGCTAATTACGCTTTCATTAAAAAACAAATCAATGAAATGTTTAAAAAGTTTAATCATGGCCAAAATATATAAAACTACTTTGTGTATAAACTGCTTGGAGTAATCTATCATTTGGTTCCATATGATGATCTTAGCTCCTACCTGTGTTGTGAAATCCTTGTCGGCAAATCTAGTAACTGTTTAGCTTTGTTCTCTGTTATTTTTCCTGACATTCCCTCTTCCTGTTTCAAGGTGACTCCTGCTGATAAATCTTTCAAAACCTGGCCCACTGGAAATCTTTCCAGCTTCAATCACGGACTTCTCTGTCTCTCAGATGACCGGTACTGACCGCCAGGCTCCTCCTCTAATACCACACAGTCTGCCTCTATCTTTCTCTGAACCCACCTTCCCACGCTTTGTCCTCTGACGTCTCTGCTTTCAATCGCCAACACCCCTTGGGTCCCCCAACCACAGGCATTTGGCCAAACAACCCATCCTGCTCCTGACCCGAGGTTTCAAACCTTCTGCCTCTTCTCTTTCTTCCTGCCTTCCTTCCCTCTCTCCTGCGTGGCAAGGTCTTTATCCTCTTCCTCCCCTGCTTTTTTTTTTTTT